TGTCTTTACGCTGTCTAGACTCTACTGACTCCTTTAAAAAGCAGCTGAAGACATTTTTATACAAACGGGCTTTTAACTCATTTAATTAATTTTAACTTGTATGTCTGATCTTACTGTAAAGCACTTTGTGATTTTTATCTGTGAAATGTGCTATATAAATAAATTTTACTTACTTACTTACTTACTTATAATCCAAACATAATCCAATCTTTGTTTGTTCACCTCAATGCAATTGATGCTGGGGGGGGTTTTCTGCTCAACAGGAATTCCTCAGACATTTACTTGTGTGACTGAGTTGGTCAAGTTTGTCACCATGGTGATCTTCACTTGCTCAGCCCAGCATGCAGCCGTGAACTCTGGACAGGTGAGTCCTTGTATAAACAGTTTCACTTTTTTTTTTTAAACAACAGTGCATGAACATCTGAGAACCTAGGAGACCTTTGGGAGAGCAATGATGATCCATCTCATTTAGGATTCTAGCTGCTCAACAGTCCTGGGTCTTTATCCTGTTCTTCATTTCATGATGTATCAAATGTTTTCAACTGGTGAATGGTCTAGTCTGCAGCAAGGCAAGTTCAGCATCCAGACTCTTCCATAATGAAGCTATGATGTGATAGATGCAATATGGGGTTCAGCACTGTCTTGCTGAAATATGTAAGTCCTTCTCTGAAAAAGATGTCATCTGGATGGGAGCATGCGTTGCTCTAAAACCAAACTGTATTTATGTATATTTACATCTGAGAAACTCTGGCTCTCTAACATACTCTGTTTATACCCAGTCATGGTACTGACAAGCTGCAGTTGTTGAGGCATTTCTTCCAAAATCAGTGAAGTTAAACTAAACTGGTCATGCAAAGAGAAAATGTGAATAATTATAGAAATAGTACCATAAAACTACAGGGAGGCATCACCAATATAAAAAAAAGAAAGAAGGAAGGAATTATACATTAAACGCCATTATTACACCATCATTTTACTTTTTAATCAGTTATCTTTTACTTCTTGATCAAATGCAGTATGACTATGGTGGCTGGATGCCCAACACTCCCATCTCCCTGCAACTCCCACCACCGACCACAAAGGGGACGACAAGCGAGGCCACAATGTTGGCGACCTTCCCTGACGTCAATGTAACAGTTCAGGGCATGGCCACCATGTGGTTACTCAGCAAGCAGTCCAGTGACTTTGTAAGCAGCAAAGATTTCATTAAGAATGACAGGAATTATGTCTGAATTTAATTTTTGCAAACACATTACAACTGTATACAATCATTCCAAGAGCCTATTTTGATTAAAAACAAATAATTGTTTTAATTGAATTTTGTTGAAGAAAACTTAAATGTATCATTGTTCTCATCAGGTCCCTCTTGGCCAGTACCCGGAGGAGCATTTCATTGAGGAAATTCCTCGCAAAATACTAAAGGATTTTCAGATGGAGCTTGAAGATTTAAGTTTAGTTATTAAAGCCAGAAACAAGCGTTTAGAAGTGCCATACACCTACATGGATCCGGCAGAGTTAGAAAACAGTGTGGCCATTTGAATATTAGAAGACTCAGCTGTGAGACAAAATTCAGTTCCCTCTTCAAACAACAGCAGGGAAAGACCTCTAAGTTCTGACTTTTACTGATGAAATAGAACAAAGAACTTACTACTTATAATCACTATATGCTAAACTGTAATTTTCTTCATCTGTGTTAAAATGTGATTCTTTTTTTGCATTACAATCTTGAATCATCTGATTTGAAATGCAAAAATGTTTGATTTTTGGGGGTGTCTGTTTTGAGACAGTTGATCTCCTGATCATGATGTATTTTCTTCTTAGAAAACATTTACTGCATTTCATTGTTTATATTTTCATTATTTTAATGTTTCAATTTTCTTGAGCTAAACCCAAACAGCTTTTTGATGAGTTAGACAACATGAACACCCTAAACTTCGCCTGAGACTGCTACTTCATCTCGGCCACCAATGTGCACTTGGTTTCTTTGTTTCTTTGCAGAAACCTGATTGTATTTTAGCATCATATTCTAAATGATCAGTTCTCTAAAGCCTCATTTAATGCATGGCACAGATTAAACACACATGGCTCACAGATATTAACAAGATGGGTCTGCATTATCCACATTAGCCTGCTTATACTGTTGACATGTGTAGCATATTTATTTAACACTGCAAAATAGAGTGATGTTTACATAGGCCACTGTATTTTGTGTAGATACCATCTCAGTGGCAAAAATGTGATTATATTCAATTCAGTTCAATTTATATAGCACCAAATCCCAACAACAGTCATCTCAATTCAGAATGTGATAATATCAATTTCCTTTACACTCACTGGGCACATTATTAGGTACACCTTGCTAGCACAAAGCTAGAACAAAGTGTTGGAAATATTCTTCAGTTGCTGCAGATTTGTCAGCTACACATCCATGATGTGAATCAAAGCTTATCTACTGGGTTGAGATCTTATGACTTTGACCATTTAAGTACAGCTCATTGTCATCTCAAGAAACCTGTTTGAGATGAAGTGAGTTTTGTGATATGAAACATTGTCCTACTGCCCACATAACAGACAGGTCTGGCCGGGATCTGGTGTCAAACCAGCACTGCTGGCTGACTTCTGATGGAAGCAGCCATCAGAAGATGGGTACACTGTGATAATTAAGGGACTGACATGGTCTGCAACAATACTCAGGTAGGTCGCTGTGTTTAAACAAGGCTCAATTGGTACCAAGGAGCAGACCAACGTCTGACAAGAAAATATCCTCCCATACCATTATAGTCACTGATACAAAGCTGTATGGATCTATGCTTTTATGTTGTTTGCACCATCTAAATACTGGAGCAGAGAAGCCAAAACCAGGCAGTGTTTTTCCAATCTCCTATTGTCCAGTTGAGTGAGCTCATGTCAAATATGGCCCCATTTTCCTGTCTTGACAGGAATGGCACCTGGTGTGGCCTATCTGTTTCAAGATTAGACATGACTCATTACAAGTGTTGCTTGTAATGAGTCCTAACTCGAATTATTTGTAGTAGTCTGACATTTTCCCTCTGATTTCTAATACTCTGCCTGGCACCAACAACCATGCCAAGTCTAAAGCTTAAGGCTACGTCCACACGTACACGGGTATTTTTGAAAACTGAGATTTTCCGTTTTCGTTTTTAAAAATAATCCCGTCCACACGTAAACGCAGAAATGAAGGAAAACGCTGCTAGGAACATGCCAAAGCAACAGGTGGCGATATATTCCTAACCGTGTAGAAATGTTGGCCAATCAGAAGTCTAGAAGCCTCGGTGGGAAATAGAAAACAAAGATGGGGCATAGAAGCAGAAAAGAGTCGTATGTGTGGAGGGACAGTAACTGTGTGTGTATGTGTAAGCATTTAAACACTGCAGAGAGTACAATTAACAGTAACAGTATTGTAGAAATTCATTTCACCGAAACAATAACGTGGTGCACAGTGTGACGTCAAAAAAGGCGCACACCTTTGACGCTGCGTTTTCTCAGTTTTTCTCGTCCACACGTCAACGCAAAAACTGAGTTTTCAAAAATCTCCACCCTGGCCGGAGTTTTTAAAAATCTCAGTTTTCAGTGACCGAAAACGCAGTTTACGTGTGGACGAAAAGTGCAAACGCATAGAAAAATCTGCGTTTTCAAAAATACCCGGGTACGTGTGGACGTAGCCTAAATCAGCTTTCTTCCCCTTTCTGATGCTTGGTTTGAACTTCAGGTTGCAGGTTGTTTTTGAGTTGTTGCCAAATGTTTTTTTTTTGTTGTTTTTTTTAAATTTATGTTAAAGAGAAGCTGAACAGTTGCACACAACAAAGTGGCTGGTCAGTGTATACAGTAGTTTACCTACGAGAAGCAGTTATAATAATAAAATGTTTTTTTAAAAAAAATAAGAATCTTGGGACTAAATTCTTAATTTCTTGTTTTGTTCTTAAAAATCTGTCATATCTTTTCTCAGAATAAGGTTTTTGAATGATATTTATTATTAAATTAATACCTTTATTCATTTAATAATGAATAAAGGTATTCATTAATCAATGCATAAATGAATAGATGCCCTCTGAGTTCTGTGTAATATATGCAAGATCTGTTTTGCTAAATAAGAGACTAAAATTGCTCTGTTCACCTGTGGTCTGTGAAGCAAAATCTAAACCTGAAGCACCACTTTGGAGGGGAAGGAAATTGTCTTCATTCTAACAGAAGAGTATTTGCAATTTGTAACTGTGCTGAAGTTTCAACAGTCTGTGGAGACTCTCACTTCCTCTGTCTGTTTGTAGGATGCAACATTTTACGCTGCCATATCTCTTCTGGAAAGCAGAAATTTCCCTGAAATTTGCGGTTCCTGCAAGGAGACATCTGGAACTTCCCCATGTCGCACAGTGATAAACTTGTTCAGATTCCAAACTGGACAGCGGGTTTGTGTACTTGAACGTGACTATTACCGTGTATTGTACTGTTTGTTCAGCACCTCAGTATGCGCAGTATTTAGAATCTGAATAACTCAGAAGCATAAAATTTCAATGGCTGTCACTATTATAGATTTTGCTGTCTATGTTGGGCACAGCCCGGTAGTGGTGTTGCTCTTGCAAAAAAGAGAGATATTTTTATGATACCAATTTTATTGCTTTTCGAGGTTGCTGCTGACCATGTAGTCATAATACTCCTGAACTCACCTAATCACACATTTAGTGCTGAATGAACTTAATTTGTCCTTGACTGCTTGCAGGCCTCCTCAACTTCTAAGTGGATTTTAATTCTCATTTGTTTTTGCAATCCAGCTAACGAGTGACAAAACTTATTACTTTCTGCCCTTTACACATTGGTAAATGACTAATGGACTGGTTCTTACATGGCACTTTGTTACTCAATTTGAGCACTCATAGCACTTTAGAGCATACCTCATTCATCTAGTCACTCAGATTCATACAAGCACTTTCTTTCTTTGCCTAAGTAAATGGTAAGTGGTAAATGGATTGATTCTTATATAGCGCTTTTCTACTCAAAGCGCTCAAAGCGCTTTACACAGCATTCACCCAATCACATAAACACTTTCTTCTGTGCTTTTAAGTTCTCACTAACTAACTAACTACTACTCATTCATACTCCTGGATGCATCAGAGAGCAACTTAGGGTTAGTATCTTGCCCAACATGCAGACTGGGGGAGCCTGCTCTACCTCCTGAGCTACCGCCAGCATAAGCGGTTTCTAGCTAGCATTCACACACCTTCACACTCTGATGAATGCATTAAAAAGCAACTTATTGTTCAGTATCTTACCCAAGAATACTGGCTGCTCTGGCTCCTGAGCTACAGTTAACCTACTACATTCCTGACTTTCTGATCCATAGTTTAGTTTACCTAAAGTTTAGGGAAACTTTATTTTAGGTAAACTAAAGTTTAGGTAAACTAGTTTAGTTTTTTTTCTGCAACTAATGGAAGCTATTTTGACAAGTTGTTATTCTGTTGTACAGTGTAATAAACACTTCATTGGCACATTTAGAATATTAGAAGATTATATTTTATATAAATAACCATCTGATATTTTAGTGTACAAAAGTAACTTTGCTCACTTCAGCAAAGCACAACAGAGAACTACACTGATCATTATAAACTCTTTTCTGTGCTCCTCTTGGAATAAATTAGCCAAACTGGCATTTATAAACTCAGGAGGGATAGCACTTCAGGCAAAATCCCAAATTAGAAAAGATGCCCCCCTTCCAAATGTTGGAAAGTGAAATATAATATTTCTTGTTAACTAAGGAGAAAATCCTGCCTTTTTTTCTTCTTTGTTTTAAAGGGAGCATCAGAATTCTGTTATGATGTTGGAAGGATTCAGAGTGTAGTGTATCTATATAAATATACATTAAACCTTTTAATGGTCAACATAATCACCACATTGTTATAGTTCGAAAAAAAAAATGGTGGCTTCGTGACTCTCGTGCTTTCATTATAATCATTGTGTGCTTTAATCTTAAGGCAAATATTAAAACGTAATGATTTTTTTTATTGTTATCATATAAGTTTGCTGGCAATTAAACATGAGACAAAATCAATGAAAAATTTTAATTAGGAGATTTTAAAATGAGCTGTTTAGATTTGTGGATTTAATGTCAGAGACGTAACACTCTAACCAGTTCTACACATCAGAAATCTCTAAGACCGTTGAATCATGCAGGTCATTAAATGACTTTATACTTCATACTTTAAAGCGAGTCTGCTCTTGCTATTGATTTGAACCTAATTTCTAATCTTTTACTGGAATTGAGAGAATAGCAATTCCGTGAATACGAGTCACTTCATACCTGTTCTGCATGACTAGCAGAGGCAGGTTTTGTAATCCTATTCTCACACTTAGTTTCACCATCTAAAACACAAATTCAGTGAAAGCCACAATCAAACAAACACCTTTTCACTGCAACCTTACACTGTAGCAGGAAGTGGTACCCGAATCAGTGTATTTTTAATCCTTTTGTCTAATGTTTATGTTGTCTCAGGGTGGTTGTTGAACCAATTTAGTGTTGTTACTGCACTGAAGTGCCTTTTAACTGAGTATGTGCCAGTAGTTACTACAGAAAACTAGAGTGATAAGTATTAGTAGGAACGTTTTGGTTTTACCTGAGGATTATGCACTTGCAGACACATTTAAAATCCTTTTCTCTTTAACTCTACTGATATTCAACACAAAAACTATTGTGCTGCACACATTACAGCAAAGTGAGTGTTGACTGATGATTGTGCAAACATATATTTTTTCTCGTGTAAGGAAACTCCGCCCTTCATTCCAGTTTGCTGCACATGAATACGTTTTCCACTTCTGTATCCCCCATAGATGGACCAACAACTTGAAGCCCACCAAACTCCTGAAATCAGTGAACAAATATCCCCACACCATTTAAACTTTTTTTTTTTTTACATAATATAATTATTAACGGAGGCAAAACAACTTAACTGCATTTACCACTACCCACTTTGATTTCATGACCATGCTCACAGAGCCATTGTTTAGTTATTATTCTGGCTCATTAACAAAAATAACAGATTTTTATTTTCCTATAAACAGTCCAACAAGGATACAATTCTATGTAGAGGCACATTACACTAGTGGTTACGGTGGCCCTGAGAGGCCAAATGGACTGCAACTAAAGAAAACACCAGCAATAAGAAAACCGCTGCAAAAGCACACAAGACACAACGGAAATGGGAAAAACATAAAGTAGAAATAGGAAAAAACTGATTTCCAAAAGCACAAGAGAAGAGCTTCGGGGGAGACAATAACCCACGGACCAGTTGCAGGAACCAAAATATGCTAAGCATTGCACTGTGAGACATTTAAAAGTGGAGGATCTAGGCACCTCACTGACCATGTGGGTGCCTGTGAACAGTGACCTGAGAATCATTCAAGCATAAAAAGTCACCTAACTCAAAGGATGAACCAGTGTTGTATCTACACTGTGGCGGGCGTGGTCGGTGGTGCCGCAGCAGGGAAGGCGGACGCACCTGCGCTGCATCACAGTCACGCCTCGCCAGCTTAAAATCTGCTCTGCCTGCTGTGTGTTGTTGTTGTAGAAGTGTTCAGCTGCAAGCTGTGTATGTAACATGACAGCAAATGACATGACAGCGGTAAATAAAAGAATAAAGATACTTGAAAGCATCTTCATGTCGTCGGGTCAGCCGTGGTCATTTAAATACACACCACTTAGCAAAGAGGGTATTTTAACTTTTAACTTTGTCTTTATATTTTATGACTGGTAGCTTCCTTTAAAATATAATTTATTCCAATATCTTTCACTGAATTTATAGAAAAGGCCTTAGCTCTTAGCCAAAAACCTGGCATATAGTATGCAGTGTATCCTCCAAAAAATTTAGGTAATTGAACAAGGCCTGCTACAAAAGAACGTAGCAGGCCTAAGAAACTATCTACAGCAGATCAACATCTGAAAGTCATCTTTTTACCATATATGTATAACATATATAAATAAATTCAACAAAGACCTGACACCGGACCTGAAACATGCATCTGGCCCTTCAGCTGATCCAGCTTATCAAAACTTCATCATAAAAGGTCTCTGTCACGGCCTGGGGGATCAGCAGGATGCTGATCGGCTATTTCTACCTTTTTCTCTCTCTTGCTCTCTCTCTACTCCTCTCTGTCGCCGGGGCGGAACTCATTGTGGCTTCACGCCTTCGGCCCACGGAAGGGCGTGATGCCCATTAAGGCGATTGGCATTTGAGCCAGCTGGTCTTTGTTGGATCGTTGTCTACCATGCGTCAAAGCTAGAGCTCAGTTAAGTCAAGATTCTATTATGAACGTCCATCCATCTTCATCCGCTTTATCCGGGGCCGCGGGGGCAGCAGCCTAAGCAGAGAGGCCCAGACCTCCCTCTCCCCAGCCACCTCCTCCAGCTTATCCAGGGGAACACCAAGGCGTTCCCAGGCCAGCCGAGAGATATAATCTCTCCAGCATGTCCTGGGTCGCCTCCTCCCGGTGGGGCATGCCTGGAACACCTCACCCAGGAGGCGCCCAGGAGGCATCCTTGTCAGATGCCCGAACCACCTCAGCTGGCTCCTTTCGATGTGGAGGAGCAGCGGCTCTACTCTGAGCCCCTCCCGGATGGCCGAACTTCTCAGCCTATCTCTAAGGGAGAGGCCAGCCACCCTTCAGAGGAAGTTCATTTCTGCTGCTTGTATCCGTGATCTCGTTCTTTCGGTCACTACCCACAGCTCGTGGCCATAGGTGAGGGTAGGGACGTAGATCGACCAGTAAATTGAGAGCTTCGCTTTTACACTCAGCTCCCTCTTCACCACGACGGACCGGTGCAGCGTCTGCATTACTGCAGCTGCGGCACCAATCCGTCTGTCGATCTCCGGCTCCCTTCTCCCATCACTCGCGAACAAGACCCCGAGACACTTGAACTCCTCCACTTGGGGCAGGAACTCATCCCCGACCCGGAGTGGGCACTCCACCCTTTTCAGGCTGAGAACCATGGCCTCAGATTTGGAGGTGCTGATCGTCATTCCCGCTGCTTCACACTCAGCTGCGAACCGCTCCAGTGCGAGCTGGAGACCCTCACCCGATGAAGCCAACAGAACCACATCATCCGCAAAAATCAGAGATGAGATTATGAGGCCACCAAAGTGAAAGCCCTCCGCCACTTGGCTGCGCCTAGAAATCCTGTCCATAAAAATTATGAACAGAACCGGAGACAAAGGGCAGCCCTGGCGGAGCCCATCACCCACCGGGAACGAGTCTGACTTATTGCCGGCAATGCAAACCAAGCTCTTGCAACGGTTGTATAGGGATCGAATGGCCCGTAGCAATGGGCCAGACACCCCATACCGCAACACCTCCCACAGGACACCCCGAGGGACATGGTCGAATGCCTTCTCCGAGTCCACAAAACACATGTAGACTGGTTGGGCAAACTCCCATGCACCCTCAAGTATCCTGGAGAGGATGAAGAGCTGGTCCAGTGTTCTGCGACCAGGATGAAAACCGCATTGTTCCTCCTGTATCCGAGGTTCGATTAGCGGACGAACTCTCCTTTCCAGCACCCTGGCATAGACTTTCCCAGGGAGGCTGAGGAGTGTGATCCCCCTGTAGTTGGAACACACCCTCCGGTCTCCCTTCTTAAAGATGGGGACCACCACCCCGGTCTGCCAGTCCACAGGTACTGCCCCTGATCTCCACGCAACATTGTAGAGGCGTGTCAACCAGGACAGCCCTACAACGTCCAGAGTTTTCAGGAACTTGGGGGCAGACCTCATCAACACCAGGGGCTCTGCCACCAAGGAGTTGTTTAACTGCCTCAGTGACCTCGCCCCCGGAAATTGGCGGGTCATTCCCCTCATCCCCAGACTCTGCTTCCTCCTCAGAAGATGTGTCAGTGGGGTTAAGGAGGTCCTCGAAGTATTCCTTCCACCGCCTGACAATTTTCGCAGTCGACGTCAACAGCATGAATGTTGTAATTAATTCTCGTTTCCTCATCTACAGACCTCCTGAATACCTTCCCTGTGTGAATCATTGTGTCGAGTGTGGAGAGTGGAACTGCGGTTGTGAGTGTGGAGAATTGGAGAACGAGTGACTACCCCTTTGGATTTCCTTGGAGCCTCATCCCTCACTTTGTTGTATATAGCGCTGCCCTGCACTTCCTGTATAAACACCTGGTGGATTCTGTAAATAAATTCTTGTGTACAGCTGATTCTGGAGTCCTGCGCTTGAGTGCCCACGTTGAACCATAACAGTCTCAGTGAAAGTGTGACTGTCAAGTCATTCTTAAGGAAGCAAAACAGGGAGAAAAGGCTGACGTAGGCCAAATTACACAAGAATGGGAAAGAACATCGGTGAAAAAAGGTCACATGTAGAGATGAATCCAAATTGAAAATTGAATTTAAAAAAATTATGGTTCAAATCATCAATGTATTTAGGAAAGAGGTCAGGAGAGGTACAGCAGTGAGTTTTACAGCCATCTGTAAAACACAATGGGGGCTCTGTCATATTTTGATTATCCCTGAAGGCTACTGAAAGAAATTTCAAGGAAGCCTATCTAAGAGAAGAGTCATACCAAATATTGACTTTAAGGTTTGTTAAAATTCTACAAAACTTTTTTGCTGTGTGTATTTAGCAAATAGTTGCATACTTCTACATTTCACAGTGGCTGCGATTTCTCTTGAATAAAATAAAGCCTCGTTATTTCATCATCAGCTCAAATTCCTGTGGTTTCTTAGGTTACAGCAGTTGATCACACATGTCCAACATTTCAACACAACACCTACCTGATGCAATTGCCTGGATACTCCCACTAAAATGTATCAATAAAAAGAGACGATTGTGGGGGCAACTTCTGACAGAGTAGTTATTCCAAGGATCTGACCACATTCAAGAGGAAAAATGGTGCAGTATAAAGTGACCGTATTCACTGGTGATCGCCTTAATTCCACTACTCTTAACAATGTCTTCATTAAGCTGGTGGGCACAGATGGGGAGAGTGATCGTACGTGGCTCATGGGCTTGAAAGGGGCTACATCCTTCGTTATAGGAGCCGTAAGTCTGAAATATGCATCTTCATGATTAAATGTATCTCAGGTTTCCTGTATGAGATGATACACAAATGTAATCATTTTTGTGGAAATAAGGGGAATCTATCACCATGAAGATGGTCAAAGCAAACAGTTCACTTCATGGACCACAGTAAATTATAAGAGGAATTGTATGCTCGAGTGTTACAGCTCAGCACAAACTGCTATGTCATTCTTTAGGTATCAAAGTTTAAGGTGTCCTGCCCCACTTCGCTTGGAAATCTTGTGCTGATAGAGTTAGACAAACAGTCTCTCCCACTGTTCCCGGAGGACGCTTGGTTTTGTGCCAAGGTGGAAGTGAAATCCCCCGAAGGAGACATCTACAGCTTTCCCATCTACCGCTGGATTGCTGATAGCAAGGTGCACCGCTTCAGGGATGGAAAAGGTTTGGGAAACTGTGCTCATCTTAAATCTTGTTCTGTAGTTACAAACCAGTGAGGACAACAAAAATCTTGTAATGAGACTAAAGCAGTTTTCCAATATACCACATTCACAAGAAACCCTTTTTCTTTCTTTCTTTCTTTTCTTTTTTTTTTTATAGCTCTGAGAGTCTTTGAAGACAACCATCATCTTGGCAGGTACAGTCGGCAGCAAGAGATTCAGCAGCGAGAGGAAGACTATCGGTGAGAATTCAGAGCTTATACACATTTTAGCCTTACAGCTCCTGAAACTAGAATACAAATGCTGTCCAGTTATAGCTGAATATCCT